CACTTGGGTCTTCAAGCCTCCCTAACTCCCTCCACTCGTTTAACATCCACCCCAAAGTTGTCCCCAAACCTTCACCCCCAAACCTCCTCCTATCCCAAATCTACTCTCCATGACACCCCTCAAGCCTCCTAAACACCCCGATGTCACCATAGTGCCACCACTGCCCCCCACTCACACCATTCCTGGGGGTCTCCAAGCCTCTCTAAACTCCTCCCACCCCTTTAACATCCACCTCCAACATTCTCCCTAAACCCACAGCCCCCAAACCTCCTCCTCAACCCAAAGGCCCCCCCCAGGGAGGCCCCCCCTGCCCCGCTGCCCCCACCTATGTAGGTGTTGCCGTTCTTCTGGTTGGGGAAGGAGAAGTCGTGCAGGTCCCACATCTCCCGCTGCAACATGTAGTCAGTGCCTGCGACAGTGAGGGGGGTCAACCCCACAGCACGGGGGGGCAGCCCCTCTCCCCCCCTTTGGCACCACTCCCCTGGCACATGAGCACATGTGTGGCCACATGTGTGTGTGTGTGTGTGCAAACACATCCGTGTGCAAACACATCTGTGTGCAAACACATCCGTGTGCAAACACATCCATGTGCACAGGGTGTCCGTGGGGGTGCGGGTACCCTGGGGAAGGGGGTCCCATAGGGTAAGGAGGTGCCCGTGGGCACTGTGGGGAAGGAAGCACCCACGGTGGTGCCCAGAGAAATATGAGCATCCCAGGCAAGGGGGTGCCCACAGGGATACGGGGACCCGGGGGAAGGAGGTGCACACGGGGGCACAGTCACGCCAGGAAAGGGGATGCCTGCGCCGCGCTCAGAGGGCACGAGGGGGTATGAGGATCCCAGGGATGGGGATCCCCCAGGTTTGAGCACCCCGGGGAGGGGGCACCGCCCCTGCCCTCCCCAGCCGCCCTCACCCTGCCAGTTGTAGGCGCCGGGCGCGCCGAAGTAGATGATGTTGGCGGTGAAGCCGGCGCTGGTGCCCATCTGGCACATGCCGGTCTCGTCGCTGTCGGTGTTGGCGTTGCACATCTCGTGGTGGTACGTCTGCCACTCGTCGCTCAGGTCCAGCCGCAGGTCGTTGCCCCGCACGTAGCACCGGCCCACCATGCGCCGCTGGTCCTCGCTGCCCGACCACAGCACCTTGGTGTAGCGGTGGGCACAGGCCTGCGGGCACGGCGGGTGCCGCTCAGCACCCCAAAAGGGAGGGGGCACCCCCGAAAGGGAGGGGGAACCCCTCGCCCTGAGCCCCGTGTCAGGATGGAGAGAGGGAAGTGTATAGGAGAGGGAAGTGTATAGGAAGTGTATAGGATTTGGGGATCTATAGGGTGTAATCCTCTACAGGTGCTCTGTAGGGTGTGAGGATCTATAGGGTGTGAGGGTCTCCACGGGATGAGGGTCTATAGGATGTGAGGGTCTCTAGAGCTGGATGTTGTCTCGCCACCCGAGAGCTTCACTTCACCCCCACTGGCACCCCCCACCCGTCACCCCACAGCGCCCACTCCAGGGGACACGGAGGTGACAGGAGCACCTCTGCCTGGTGGCACACGTGTGTGCACATGGACTCACCAGCACCCTCCCC